CCCCTTTCCCCTCCCCCATGGGGTCCCCCGTGCCAGCCGGCCCACCTCCGAGCCCCGCCCCGCGTTCCTCACACGTCCCCAGACACGCCCTGCGATCCCCTGCCTTGTCCTACTCATCCGTGAGTCCGGCTCCCCCCGCGGCCCTCCCCAAGGCCAAGGTCTGACCACGGCTTTTCCCGCCCCAAGGGGCAGGGCTGAAATTCTAAGTTGGGGAGAGAGGCTCAGCCCCAACAGCCCATCCTCACCTCCAGTTTGGCAAACTTCTCTGCCTTGTAGCAGGCATATTCAGCATTGATCAGTTTTGTCAGCAAAAATTCCTGGAACTCAGGCCCCTGGGAGCCCCCAGTGTGGAGGAGAGAAGAAAGGGGTGGTCAGGCGAACAGAGACAAGGGGCTGAGCCCATGTGTCAGGGGCTGGTGTCCCCGAGTGACACCCTCCCTGCTGGAGCCCAGAAGTTGCCCTCTTCACTCCCAGAGCACCTCCTTGGGCTCAGCTCCCCAGCCCAGGCACCTGTGAGGGCCCCCTATGGCTGCCCACCCCTCAGGAGAGCAAACCCACAGATGTAAGGGGCTGGGTCAGGGTCCCCCACTGCCTCAGTCTGTGGGGGACTGAAGCCGAGGCTCTAAGTGTGGCTTCTGGTAGGTGAGAGGGACATGTAGCCCCTCCCCAAACATTTTAGAACAAAGAAGACTAATTGTCAAAAAGATAATAGAAAAGAGGAAAGGCCACAGAGTCTGCTATGAAAAATGCAAAACAATGACATAGTTTGTTTTATGACTGTGCAAATAAAAGGTCAGTTTTTATCAAGATGAACAGAAAAGCCAGGCCCCAGGTGCACAGTTAGGGGAGCCCAGCTACCCTGGCACACAGTAGGGCTTCAGAACCTAGTATGGCAGAATGTGTGCCCCTTCCCGCAGCCCCTATCCATTTAGTCCTGCCCATGACAGGGGCTGGGGGCAGCCTCTCACCTTCCTGAACACGGCAGGGTCTGGGAGCGGGGGCCCAAAGAAGGGCACATCATCTCTGGCAGTGACGGAGACCTGGAAGGGAGGGCAGCAGTCCTTGTGGAGTCCCTACACCTGCTGGAAACCCCTAATTCACCTCCCTATCCTGCCCCATGCTGGGCGCAGGGCCTGCTCCTTGGTGGGGGATGTTCAATGACTGCTGAGAGAGAGCAGCTGAACCCCAGGATTTCAGCTCTTCCATCCTTGGCCCTGAATTTGAGTGCTGGGAAGGGGTGTAGGATCTTAGGAGTTATCAGGGAAGCTCGAGGGGAGAGGAGGCTAATGGGCCTCTTTGAGGGGGGAACTTTGGGGAGCAGAGAGAGCAGGATGGGAATCCTCCAGCAAGAGCAGGACTTAGAGCCCTCACTCAGGACAGCTGCCCTGTTTATAGTTGGGAAAACTGAGGCTCAGAGAGGCCTCATACTGGGAGGCTCTAAGATCACCCACCTTGTAGAGGGGGCCATCGGGCCCCCCACCCTCAGCCTGCACCACCACATAGGCATGCAGGAAGTTGGAGGCAATCATGTCAGGTACAAAGGGCGTGTTCTCGTCCTGGAAGACCACAGCGACGATGTCATTCCCAATGTGCCGCTTCCGCTGCAACTGAGCACAGGGCCATAGGCCTTCACAACCTGGCCGCGAGGGGCCACTGGGCACGGGGAGGGGCGGGGGAGGGAGAGCTCTGGGTTAGGCAGAGGACAGGTCTGAGGATTCGCTTCTCCTTCCAAAACTGCGAGAAACTTGTNGCGAGGGGCCACTGGGCACGGGGGAGGGGCGGGGGAGGGAGAGCTCTGGGTTAGGCAGAGGACAGGTCTGAGGATTCGCTTCTCCTTCCAAAACTGCGAGAAACTTGTCTTAAGTTATTTTCGTTTTCTTGGAATCCTGTGACAGATGATGAAACTAAGGCCAAGAGAAAAGTGACTTGCAAGGCCCTACAGTGAGTTAGAGGACTCAAAGCCAGGGCGCCTGGTCCCCAGGCCCTACCTTCTGTCTAAATACCCCAAACATTGCCCCTCTTGAACAAACAGGTTCCACCCAGTATAAATTCATGTTGCTAAAATGAACAGAAAATCTTATTAAAAGAAAATAAAATGACAATAAAAGTAAATATTTCCATTTTTCTCATATCCCAATGGGATGGGGATGGGAGTGAGGTAAGGTAGCCAGTCCTGCAGGAAGCTTAGGGCAAGGTGACAAATTTCCAGTCCAGTTCCCAGAACACACCCTATACTTCCTCACCTCCAGGCCTTTGCAGAAGCAGCTCTCTCCACCTGGAACAACCCCCCCCCCCC